TTGTTTTGCAACGGATCGTGAAAATTAAAATTGTAACCTAAAGCATCAAAAATTAAAAGCTAAATTAAATGCAACTTTCAATTGTGCCTGCGTTTCACGTATGGATACGTAAAAATTCAGGCGGAAAATTCTTGACTCCTTTTTGACTCGAAATCTAGGCAAATATTCGACGAAGTAAGTTTGATCGAATTCTCGCAGAACTAATCTGAGGATCATTAAACTCGCTTTGATTATGGGTGAATTTTCGACTGATGCGCACTTACACAACCGGATTTTCTATGTTGCGCAGCATACCTGCAGTAAGTACCCACTGATTTTATGATTTACACAATCTACACCAAGAAGCTTGTTCGAATAGCTGTTTTCTTTCTCGCGGATGCTGTGTATTTTTGATTTTCGGGAGAAAAAAATCCCAAGCAAGAGAGGATGCATTTATCTGATATTTTGTAGTTCTGCTTAAGTTTGGTGTCTTAGCATCAAATGTCAAATACATATATGTCTGCTACTGGCTACAACCTGTCACTTCGAGTTTTTTAATTATATAACCTCTAATCGATTTGACTTTGCATAACTTTGCCAGTGTGATCTATGTAACTTTTACAGCTCGGCCTCTCGGAGAACTGGCGACTTTAGTGTGAAACGCACCGATTTCGCTTGAGGACAGCAACTGAGAATAGAGTTCTCCTTTTTTTTTGTAGTACATTTACTCCATAAATTAAGAGTGACAACAAATACGCACAAGGAGGGCGGTCTGGAAGAAGAGGAAGACTAATTTTGCAGCTATGAAGCACTGAAATCGCTTAAGGGAAAGAATGAGGAACTAAAAAGAGACAAAACTCGGATTGCTATGAAGATACGCGGAGGTACTATAAGCGGATTTTCAATTTCCAAATTAAATAGCGTGGAAGCAAGGAAGAGTTTATTAGAAAAGAGCTTATCACGCATTAGACCAAAACCCTCTTCTCTTATTCGTCACTCAGGAAGTAGCCCCAGTTATAGCAAGTGTCAAGTCCAGTAATACTTGCTAGCAAGGTTGTCGATGGCTTCCTCTTTCAAAGGTTGTTTATAGAAGGTTGTTTATAGAAGCAAACTGATAGCGGGTTTGACTCCTTGATATATGCCAGTGCCAATTTACTATCGAAACAGAGATGGATTGACCCAACATGGGAGTCGAACCTTCAAATCTTCTACACGACTGCGCTGTTCGTTTCTATTGCATCATGATCGCCATTATCACAAATCAGAAATAGTTTATAAAGTATACTGCAAACAAGCAAACA